AAGGTTTTAGTGTCTTTAGTTGCCTTACTAATTCAAAATTTTAATTAAACAGTTAAAATAAGCATAAAATCTTAGCTAATAATCCTATATTTTAATTGTATATAAAGTATTAAGTTCTTAATTCTACAAGGAAATATTCTTAAAAATCCTGAATTTCCACTAGTGTGACCCACATGAGACATTTTGTCTTAGCGTGTCATCATCCCTACTTTATCCATCACCCCTCAAAAATGTATGAAATTAAACATAAAATACTCTCTATAAAATCATTATTGCTGAAACAAACCACAATTTTTATAGCGTTCAATTTTGTTTCGTTACAGAGCTATCGAACAGAAAATCAGACCCCTCCTGCCACATCCTATCATTGACAATTCATTGATAGTTCTCTCTTATGTTTCAATACATATAACCAATAAAAAGTCAAGGTTTTCATCTATCAAATGATGTACTGTATAACACTGTATTCTGAACAGAATATCACCAATTTCAGTCACAGTACAAGATTCGTTCCCGTGGGAAAGTTAACGAGTAGCTTTGATGAATTTGTAACAGCTCATCACATAGTTAGAAAGCCAAGAAAATTTTGAGAGGTAAGTGAATTTGTCTACTTTTTGCATGTTATTAGTCTATATTCCTCAACAATCGATGGCAAAAAAAAAAGAAGATTGGGTAAGTATTTTATTTGTTATTTTCCCATTTATTCTTTATTTATTATTATAAAAGTAACTAAAATCTAAAAATATGAATCTTTTTAAGTTATTTAAGACTAGATTAGGTAAAATAAGTAATAATAATATAATTAAAATGGTTCATGAGGCATGCACACGAACAGCTCGAGGGTAATGTAGTTCGATAGCATAACATGAGCTTCACGTTCTCCATGTGATTTATAACTTATAATGATGATGGTAGTAGTTAAACACGGTTCGAAGGGCAATAAAACAATAAAATTTAATTATAAATAGATGTATAATGTCACAAACTTACAGCTAGTTAAGATAAACAAACGTAGTTTCATGCTACAACTTGAAGTCATTCTAGAAAGAAAGAAAGGTTAATTTAGGTTCATTAGGTTACAAGGTCGGTCGAATTGACCAATCCGTTTTGAGAAAGGGTAGAGAAAATAACAAATAAACTATAAAGTTTTACTGAAAAAAAAACGTTTGAAATGCATTTAGGAGGTTTAAGAGATTACACAAAGAAAATGAGATTTTGAGAAGATGAAAAGTATTTTTAATTTTAAAATGAAAATTATTTTGCACACGGACTATTCAAAACAAATACAAATTTACTGACCCCGTAGTTTTTCACTAATTAAGCTTATATGCTAAGTGGAATCCTCATCTCAAAATACTTAAAACTTTTAGTAACTCATATTTATCAACTGGGATTTTCTAAGAACTAAATAGCAAAAATCTATGCTGATGACAGCAACATGGTACCTGTCACCTTGAATTGCTCTCTCTCTCTGTTTTTTATTAACTTTTATGACAAATCTAACTAGTTTCAGAATCTTACCATATTCAATAGACGTAGGCCTTCCAAAAGTTTGCAGTTTCTGTTCTTTAGCCTGTGAGCTTCATCAATAATGACACATCTCCAAGGAATTTCCCGAAGCTCTAAGCAGTCCGTCAATAACATTTCAAAAGTAGTTATCATAACGTTGAACTTGTAGATCTCATTGATTCGTTCTCTCTTTAAAGAATAACCCAAATTAACAAACAACCACTAAATAAAACAAATACTATCATATTATATATATAAAAAACACATATGCTTCTTTTCCACAGCTTACTACATAAGATAAATAAAACAATGAACAACATTTAACTAACATAATATACACCTTATTTTCAATACTTCATTTTAACATATATTGATTTAGTACTATATAACAAATATAAAATATCCTGAGCTATATGAAGATACTTTTTAAAAGAAAGCAGTTTCCTTCATTTTCTGGCAATATAAGTGACATTTCTTAGAGTCAATTTAAAGTATTTTTTCAAACCAAATACAAAAAAAATTACCTAAAAACAGCCTTCACCTACTACTCTTATAGACAACTGTAGTAAGTTACTTACCTTTTCATTTCTGTAGTACATTTCATATTCTTGTATCATACTTCTACTAGTTGATCTGCAAATCAATTGTCAAAAGAATCTGTAGCAATAAATTTTTTCCCTCCAATGTATTGGGATTTAAAATATATATATATACCACAAATATAGCAGATTATGCATTTTAAAGAACTATTTATTTAAAACTCAAATCTTAAAATTTTGTGATACCATGTTGCTTTCAACAAATTTTGAGCAACTGTTATATAACAAGAAAGCAATACTACTACTGAAAAGATGATTGTAAAAATAAACATATTCAAACTGAAACTGTACAAGAAGTTTAATTTCAATATCAGCAGAATCATATTCTTGATTTTTAAGAGAATACTGAAAAACTGAGAAAAAAAAGTTATAGTGCCAATAATTAAAAATAATGTCATTTTATTTAGTTTTACCTATTCATTTTATATGGAAAATTTTCAAGAGTTAAACTATATTAACATTAAGTAATATTAAAAGCTGCTTACGATCCGTGATAGGTTATAACATTCAGGTCCGTCCATGTTTCAAATTCCCTCTGCCAATTAGCTATGGTTGACAGTGGAGCAATTACTAAAAAAGGCCCAGGAATACCATAGTTACCAATTTCATTGAGGAATGTAATGGACTGGATAGTCTTACCAAGCCCCATCTCGTCTGCCAAAATGCAGTTTTGACTGAAATATAATAAATTTCCTTTATAATTCATTCATTTTCCTTGCAATTTATTACAGATGAGTATTGATAATAAAAGATAGTCATCAGTAATGACTTATAAGACCTATTATTCCTTCTTAAGGCAAATATATGCCAATAAAACAAAAAAGAATAATTTAGAATCCAGATGTGCGTGCGCATGATAATTTTTCACAATTCTGATTATAGTTTTGCAGCCTTTAACCTTCTGGATACAGGTAGGTAAACTTTTGATATTCATTTGGGAGGACCTACACATTATACAAATAAAATTTGAAAACTGTAAGATGAAAAAATAGTTTTAATATTAACAAAAAAATCACCTTGCACTCAGACTAGTCAGAGTATAAAGTAGACTAACTCCATAAATTCCCATATCTTTAGAAAAATTACTTAATTAAAAAAAAATATTTTTTTATGTACAAAAGACTTCTTATATTTACTAAAGGATTGCATTATTTTGTGAAGATACACTAACTAAATTAAAAATTATTGTAAACTTTAATAGAAAAGGCTAATTGAACTTACTACAGTTCAACAATAACTAGGCAAACATATTATACTCTTCTTTAAGTTGCTGCAGATTTGTTTAAATTTCTTTGAATACGTTAACTTCTAATTCAAACAATATTCTTATAATTACTTTACTGTTACAGCTAAAACTGTTTACACTTACCCATTATACCAGCAAAAAGTTAGCCAACTAAGACCTTCAAGCTGATACTCTCGTAAAGTGTTTCCTCCCTTATATACAGGAGATTCTTCTATCTTAATCCACTCTGATGGCTTAGGTTTTTTCTTAGGCTGAAAATATATTTTTTGTTTCTAGACACATTAATAAAATTAGATGAAGCATTACAGCAAATTTGAAATTCTAAATGTTTACTAGTATCATAACTGCTCGTAACAGCTAAATTTCATACAAATTCTGTTTAGGTAGATTTATTTTCATTTGTATTTAAAGGCTGTGCAATACCATTACCAATTACTTGCAATCAAACATATTAATGATTAACTACTAAAAATGCTTTTTAATTATTGATAATGTCTTACAAGTCTGCAAACCAGAGATGTTAACATATAACTTCAAGAAAAATGAAACTGAAAGAAATGCATGAAAAAAAAATTGCTACTAAAAAAAAAACCTAACACAGGTAAAAAGGGACATACCTTCCACTTTTCCTTGGGAGGGGGTTCACAAAAGTGGTAGAACTGTTCTATCTTTATGGGGTCTACATCTTTTTCTAATTCCCATGTACTATCTTCATACGATAGTCCTCGCCACTTGACTAAATAATGACGCAAGACTTTCTTTGGTTTTCCTTCAGTTGCAATAGATTCTCTAGTTTCTTTTTCGTTCTGTGTATTCTCTTTTCGATTTTCAGTAATTGTATCTGATTCATCTTCTAGTTTACTTTTTTCTATAGCTACCGAGGCTACATTTTTACTGCTATCTTCTTCCATTTCTTTAAGTTCATCTTTAAGAATGAATGTTGAACTCTTTCCATGAGGAACTTTATTTTCTGAACTAGCATTACATTCTTTTTTTTGAAGGTCAGTACATTCTCCATATTTTCTCTTTTCTGTAACTTCATCTTTGTCAAATCCAATATCTAGCACATCACCTTTTCTAAGTTTAGTGGATTCATCCACATTTTCAAGCAAAGTGTCTTTATTTACTTTGTCTTCCAATATATTTACTTTTGCCATTGTAGAGTCCCCTTCGATGTGTTCTTGTTTTTTATCCTTATCTTCAGTATCTACTACATTAACTTTTTGAGGCTCTTTGCTTCTATATGATATGTCTATGAATTCATCAGTTTCTGTTACATCGAGAACCCGATCCACCTCCACATAGTCAGGATTAAAAGGTTCTTCTTCGAGCTAATAATTACAATAACTATTTTTCAGACAGGTTCATTGTGTTTCAACAGAATATGCTATTTACATAGAAAAACACACTTTATTAATACATTCTATTCAGTAGGAATGCAATAAAAGATACATCTGAATTTGTATTTCTTATTTATTACAACATTAAATTTCCATAAATGGCTGATAATATTTTATAAATATTATATCATGGATTGTGATGAAGTATTCCCGAAATACTCCAGAAAAAAATCAGGTTGCTTATGAAAAGCATTTCACTGCCTTTGTTATGAAAATTTTTTTAGTTGATAATAATTTTGTTGATGACTGAGAATATAACTTTACTGCATTTATCAAAAAATACAAGTGTTATAAAGGTTGTAGCTTAATATGAACTTATTTATTAATAGTAATAAAAAATATCCACAGTTTCTACAATCTAGAAATTACCCTATGTCTAGTCTTAGTCTGAATACTATATTCTATCAGCTCTAGTATACACATTTAAATTAAATATTAACTTACAATACATAATTCCTGCTAAAGTATGTAAAACTAAAATAATAATTAATAATATTAATACTAAAAAACAACATCCACAGTTTCTATAATCTATAAATTACCCTATGTCTAGTCTTAGTCTGAATACTATACTTTATGAGCTTTAGCATACACATTTAAATTAAATATTAACTTACAACACATAATTCCTGCTAAAGTATGTAAAAGTAAAATTCTATGCATTTAGTACTTTAAGTATATACATTTATGTTAGCCACTGACTTAAGCATTAAGCAATTCTGATACCTATTTCGTAACACTGCACAGCACCACATTACATTGTTCAAGTGAATATACAGTAGTAGATCTCTTTCACAACATCCTGAAGTACACTAAGGACATATCTTCACATTTCATTTATATAGAAAAGTTGTGCCACAAGCTCTGTAAGTTAAAGTTATAACAGGTAGTGCATCTCAGTTGAAGGAAAAATTACTAATAAACCTCTCCTATGCACAAGATCATACCTGTCAGATGAGCACAAGTAAGAAATGTTATCTCTCACCACATGCAAGAGAATGCTAGAATACATTTTCCCATTTTAATTACCCTTTTAAAAGTTTTATAAATTAAATTTCCAATAAAAATACATTTATTAACATACATTTTGTAACTAATCATTCTCAAAAATAACTGGAGATAAAATGTAGAAATGCACTACAAATAATTTCATTATTAACAAAATTTGTGATAAACTTTCCATGGATTAAAGTTATATTAACCCTTTATCCATTACCAGACTGGAAGGGTGAAACTGATATCCTTTGATTGTTTTTATAAGTGGAAATAACCAAAATGCATGAAACTTAGTACAAACTTACTAAACAGAACATAGTTTCTGCTTAATAAAATTCATATAATTTGATTTACTTTTTCTGTCATTTTTTTACATAGTAAAATTTCTAACATTTCCTTCTAGGTCATTGACTTGTAATAATATTTAAAATACTTTCTTTTATCTAAGATTTTAATTTTTTTTTTTTTATTGTTGATCAGGAAAATCCATTTTACATATCCAGTCAATTTCAACTTGAATGATATTTATTAACTTTTTTTGATATTTTACTTTGCCAGTTGCTGTATTCACTAAATCTGGCTCTCAAGGTTTTCATCTATTAAATGACATATTATATTACATTGTTTTCTGTACAAAAAAATGCCAATTTCTTTTTTAGCACAAGCTTCATTCCCACAGAAAAGGTACTGACTAGTTTAGATATAGTTATAATGGCTCTTGTCACATAGTCAGACAGTCTACAGTAGTGATTACCCCAATATATGCAGTGAGTAAGACAAAAATAGAATAACTCGAGTGAAAACTCATTATATTTTATTTGTTAAAAGGAATTTAATTCCAGAATTTGATCAGTTTGTAGGCACTTGTAATTATATATTTTTTCCTTGATTGATTACGGAAAAAAAAAATGCGT